TCATCATTCAGGTTTCCTTCTGCCTACACTTATAAATCAGAATGTAACATCTGTAGTAAGAGAATGTGTTTTTGTTTTTCATTATTTGTTTTCACTCCAGAGCATAGAACAAATACATGACACATGGAGAAAAATCAATAAATACTGTGTTTCATAACTGCTGCCTTCATAGTGTCCCTCATGGTGCTCAACTTCAAATATAATAAATATTTTAGTTTACTTCCTGGACCAGTGTTTTGGTCATTATCTAATAAATCTATGCTGACTTACTAATTAAAGAGGACTAATACATGTAAAAAAAACTGTTATAACACAAATGACTATATTAGTGATTCTAAAGTATGTGGTGGTGTATTATCAAACAGATCTTATTTTTTTAGCTTTTAAAGGATTTCAAATAACACTTAAAAACTTCACTGAGAAGGAAAGCAGCTTTAGAAACAGCTCTTCTTTCAGTATTATATTTTCTTTCTTCCAGCGTTGCTAATCAATTGTTTTCATCAATTTTTGTGGCTATGAAAATAGCTGATGCTGATTAAATGCAGCTCTTTCCTTTGTGATTCCAGTAGCATATAGGTCCACTGCACAGCCTTCTGGCCGCATCACACTGGGGTGGAGAGAAATGGACCCTTTCAGAAAAGGTACATAGTTGTGTATCATGGATATGAATTAACTGTTCTAGACTGTGGTCATATTTACTAACTGAAGGTATTGAAATTTAAAAAATAATCACGTGTAATTTTTCTATAGTGATGTTGTGGATTGAACGTAGCACCTCCTACAGGGCAGGCAAGCCCTCTAAAGGGCTATATGTAGTATTCAGATGATGGGAAACATACTATTAAGGAAACATTGACTTCAGGCAGAGAAAGAGGAGTGATAAATAGAGTTTGAGTCCTGAATGTTGAATGTGACTGGATCCACATATAAATAAAATCAGCTTTATCAAAGAGTAAGCTTTGCAATCCAACCACAGGTCAAAAGCATACACACAGAGAGGTGACTAAGAAGTCACCACACTGATCACCTGTTGACAAGCTTATTTCTTATTATAAGTCAGTTTTGGGAATAAGAGAGGATGTGGAACAGAGATTTTTTTAAAAATTGAGAACATATAGTGAAATTAATTTCAGATATGTGAAAAGGTGATGGCCATGGAATGTAGCAGTACTATCAATTTCATTTTAAGGATAATGAATTTGTGTTGCAGTAATTCCATCTTGGGCTATAAGCCCTTGATTTTTCAGGCACTGAGAGACAGTAATGCATAATTTCACAGAAGATTACAAATTTTCTGAAAAAGTGGAGCTCAAAGAGGTCCAGAGGAGTTAGTGTATTGGTAGAAGGGGTTTGAAATAGTGCATAGAACACACATGGAGAAAACTAACCAAGGGAAAAGGTTGACAGAATAGTGCACGTAGGGCCAGGGTTAGAGAAGTTAATAAGCTCATACAATTTTTACGTTGGAAAAATATGAGTAAGGTAGGGCAGTGAGTTTGTGTGGTGAGTGAGAGACTATCATTTTTGAGAATGAGAAATTCTTGAGATTTCTGAAATTTTTGAGAATAACCCCTTAAGGGTTGTGAGCGGAACAAAAACCTTAATACATCAAATTCTGCTATACTGGGTTAGACTGCCTTATGCAAAATATAAATATCATGCCTTAGTAAGATATTTCCAGTTGAAAGTTTGTAGGTTAAGACAAAGACCCTAACAGTTGAATGGTTGGTTAAGGCAGCATGGAGGAGAAGGTGCTGGGTGTTAGGGAGACAAAGACATTGAGTGCGATGCTGGAAGAAGATTTTGCACATGCGCACTGATGGAGTAGGAAGTTCTAGGTCCAAACAATGAAATAAAAGGATTAATGGGAGAACATGGGCAACATGAGAAAAATGAAAATTGAACTTTAATGAAGCCCAAGTAACTGGAAAGGTTTAAGGAGGATAACATGAGTACTATGATTCTTAGTCTTCAAAGAAAAATCTGCCAATGTATTGTCCTAGAGTTTCTTTTGTACTCACAAGTTGGCTAATACTATAAAAATTAAGTGAAAACTAAGGAGTAAATAGTTTCTTACAATCATGAATATCTCCATTTTATAAACAATAGTGTGAGGTATACATGTAGTTGTCTTTTCTTTTGATAAGATAACTGCATTTGAATCTTTATTCCTCTTGCCCTTTAATAAAATTCTGTATTTAATTTAAATTATATAATTATTGATTTTACCATGCCAACTTGGACTGTACAAGTTTTTCTAAACTAAAAAATGATAAACATTGCAATGGGTTCTGATATCTGCTTGCACCAAGAATTACTGATTATGAATTAACCATAAATGTATAAAAATAATTTCTGTTCTGACAAATATCCACATTATCTATTCTGTGGGATTCCTTTTCCATAGGTCTGCTAATTTACCATAAGCTGTTCTTCACTGTTCTATTTGTTTCATCAGATTTGAGGGGGATAATCTTATTCAGCAACTTTTAAAGTTAACATTTAAAATTTTTATTTTAAAAGTGAACATCTAGAATTTATACATACTTTCAATGTATCAAAGTTGCTGGTAGAATGAGGACAGGTTCTGTCTCCTTGACAGGTGCTTCCTTGGGGAATCTCATGAGCTACAAACCAGCAGCATTAAGAGAACTTACTTTCTGTTTTTCACAGACACTTTTCAGAACCATCATTTGTCATTTTTAGCTTTTTACCTTAAAATCTTTAAACACTAGATTACCTGTTGAGTAATTTTATTAATCTAGTTCCAGTGTTTTGCACTGATCATACTGACCATCAAAGTACCTATGACCACTATTCCTATATCTTAACACATTCAACCTGATACTGCAAATGGGTAAGTATAACATTGACTTGTTTCTTGAAAGTTATAAATGTCTGTCATTCCAGGATACTTATTTAGGTCCTAACACAGAACACAAGATGAGGCAAATGATGGCTTTTGAAAGAAAGCAATTTGTAAAGTTAGGAATGGCTTAATTTTGTAAATAATAATATAATTCTATCTTTTTCTTGTTATTTGTTTCTTATGTCTTGGAAGTTTCATCTTGTTTTATTTTACTAACTGTTTAACCTCTTTCATCAAATTAAATCACTGAATATTTCATAATTTTCTTAATATTTTGAAGTATTCGATTAACAAGTGTGAATGCTATTCAGGTATTTTAGATGTTGAACAAAACTTTTGTTCCACAAGAGCTGTGATAATTTGTGTATTACCTTGATGCATATTTGAATGAGGTTCACTTTCCCGTCCTGCACATTTTCAAACTTGGGCAATTACATTTAATTTGTCAATATTTATTCTTTTAACATGACAATGACATTTCATTGTATTTTTAGACTTCTTGGATCAATAGTAAAATAACAGTCTTTTCATGGGTTTAATTCTAATGAAATTCTTTTCCATTATTAACAAAAGGATGTGTTTTTGTAGTTTAACTTAAATGTTTTCATTTTTATTTTTCTAAAGTTATAATTGCTTACTTGTGTTTTGTCTCCATTCTTTTATTGTGTGCTGATTTTTATTAACATTTTCGTTGGTCTGAAGTTTGAGTACAGGATGTAAAATTATTGCCATGAGTCTGTGTACTTGCCCATCTTAACCAGTTTTCCATCTTATTCTGTCACTATGCCTAATTTGTTCTCAAGATATTTTTATTCATGCACAGGCAAAAATGTTCACAAAAATACTTGATAAGCAGAATTCTTATAAAAAGACTATGCGCTTAACCAACACATCTGCTGGTGTACATGTAAATTGGAAAAGAACTATTAGGAAACAATTTAACAAAAATAAATATTCCAAATTTTATTGTAGTTCTTATTTTAGGAAAGTTACTCAGGAAATAACTGTCGACATTGAATAGATTTATATATAAAATCTTTTGTTATTCAATAGTTTAATATTGAAAATTTCACCTTTAGGAAGATTTTAGCAAGTTCTGTAAAATTAAATAAAATGTAAAGCAATTCAAACATTTCAAATCTCTCTACACACAGTCCTGCTAAAACATCATTTACAATTTGACTGTTTACTTGCATTTCAAGAACACATGTTATCTAGTAATTTAATATTCTAGAAGTGAGAATTTATAACTCCTTTACTTATAATCATCACCATTAATAAGCTTTTTATTTTCTTTTGTGTACCCAGTAAGTTTATTAGGGAAAAGCAATAATAAAACACATGTAATGCATAAATTTAATTATGTTTAATATATATGAAGGGTAAATTATTCAAAATGTAAAGCAAATATTTAGCATATTTTATCTTATAAATATGGACAACTTTCTGCTCACAATCACTTGTTATTTTAAAATATCAACTTATCATTTATTTTTCCCATAGGTGAACATTGTTCCATTATTTAAATTTTTATATATTTATAAATCAAAATTTCATGTCAATATCATATTTCGTAATTGTCTATTTTTCCTTTTTTTTTTTTTTTTTTTTGTTTTTTGGTGGTTCATTAGTCCCAGTAATACAGATTGCATGACTATTTCTGTTGTCTGTGCATGTTAAATAAATGTCACTTGCTTAGCTACTAAACTAGTTAGGACAGTTGATTGAAAGGTGTGTGGTTATATTCAAATGAAGATATTACCTCACTTCTGAGGTAAATTCATTTTATTTTTACATTAATATATTCTACTAAGAATATACTTTTCAGTGATAAATTACACTGTATTTTATATAAAGTGACTTTAAATTTTCAATTTATAATGTGGTTATATTTAACTATGTGTTGACTGTTATCCAGAGAAAAATAATTGAGATCTAAACATTTAAGTAATCCACTAAATTCATGCTTTTTATCAATGAAAAGAAAAGTATTGACCTTATTGATGGAATGCAAAATAACTCTTTTGAGTATGGAAGACCACAAAATTCACAGTGAGAATGATACATTCATTTCCTGTTGTTTTACTCCTCTAACCTCACAGCTGTTGCTTGTGCACCAAAACTGGCACATTATTCACTGGTCTCTTCCTTTTATTTTATTGCAGTGATGTTAGAGAACAAAAGGGAGAGTTATCAAAAATTGAGCTGAAGACTGATATTTTCCACATTGCTTCAGAACAAGAATGCCTAAAAACAGACACAGTGAAGGCAGACTAGAGGAACAAGAAATAACTTACACAGATGTGAAAATTTCCAAATCTCAACAGAAGCAAAGGATATTCAAGAAAGAAGAGTCCTGTAATATCAAGTGAACAGGAGGTTAACTATATTGAGCTGAGGTTTCACAGAACATCTCACCTGCTGCACAGAGCACAGCTTGTAGGACAAAAAAAGGTACAGTACCATAAATATTTGTTTAATAAGGGATACTGATTCTTGAGTTTAGAAGATTATAACTCTCAAAACCAATATAAAATTTTAATAAAACACTAATTATCTAACTCTTTAACACATTTCTTGACTTTTTCAGTATGCTTCAATACATGTAAGATTAGCTCTTAGTATATGTAATTTCCTCTAAAATATCATTGACCCAGATTCCAGCAGAAGTGTATTACTTGTAAGAATTACAACTGTAATTGTCATGAATTTCTGTGAGTTGCTTCTTTCCATGTTATTTTAAAAATATTGATGCTAGATTTCAATCTCTTTAGTTTAGTTCAGTCCCTTAAACAGTTATTGAACTTTTATTATGGAACTTCTTTGGACTTCCCATGAAATCTAAAGATGAAAGGACAAAAATTAGATTATTATCACAGGAAACAGATTACAGAACAATGATTTTAAAAACATTTTGAAGGGCTGGGGATTTAGCTCAGCGGCATAAGACTTGCCTTGCAAGCAGGCAGTCGTGAGTTGGATCCCTGGTACCGATAAAAACGAAAAAGACAAAAAAAAATATTTTTAAGATACAACATGTGCAGTTTCATAATAAGGAGATAATACCTGAAGGTATAAGAAGTTAAATGTTACAGCATTTTAACAAAGTCCTTAGTTTAAGTGATTTACTAGTAGTTTTACCCACCATTACAGAAATATATACTAAAAATTATTATTAATTTGATAAAGTCAAATAGCACACAGTTTCCAATGTCTCCTGGTATATCAGAGGAAGATGTCAGTCATGAAATTGTATGTAAGAGGTGGTAAAGACAGATGTAAATAAGTTGCAGGAGATGATAGAAGAGACATCTATAGTAAAGTAACATTTAAGACATTGTCAATATATGTAGTGAATGATGCAAAACCATAGCTGTGACTGTGTGGTCAGCAAGAGGTACAAAATGAAATATGGCAAATTAGATGAATCCAGTAAAAGGGCAAAAGCAAAGTTATCTCTTCAAATTTAGCCCATTTCTCATTATTCACTCTGGTGCTCTCCTTTGCTTTCCAATTTCTAGTCTGATAATAAAATCAGAATTTTGAAAGCACAAAGCTTTATCATACCCAAGAATATTCATCGTTCTGAGCTCTCTGGGTGAAACAGCCCCTATGCTCTCCTCCTTCCCCAAGGAATTGACGCTCACCTTTTTTCTTCGAACATCAAAGCAATGTCACATTTTTAGAGAAACACCAGGAGCTCCCCCTTGGTCTATAAGAAAATTATTTGCATTTTTGCTAAAATTAATGACTTTTTTCATAAGAGAAAGAAAGATGCATTTGTTCCTTCTCTCTACTCATATTGAGTGCTTTTTAAAACTAATAAATTAATATATTATTTTCATGATGTGCTATTATTAGCAAGAATAAGATTTTTTTTTTCTTAAGTGAAATGGACTCCATTTTTTAAAGTGGAGAGAATGTTTCATGAATCTCCAGGTTAAAGTTTTTAGGATTTTGAGTAAAGGATGCTCTAAATTGTTGGTGTGAGTAAGTTGAGCAATAGACCTTAGAGTTCAGCTGCACCAGGGAGGAAAGAGTGAAGGGAGAATTGACCTGAAGGGAATTTAAAGAGCAATAACTGGGTTCAGTGCATTTGAGACACTATTCACTTCAGGATGAAGCCCTGAGGAATGAGGCAATGGAAGGTTTCCCTCTGAGAGGCGGCATCTTGTCTTACTTACTGATTTCTAGGAAAGAGAAACTCAAGCATCGATTCCCTTTCTTTTCTTTTTAGGTGCCCCATCAACAGCATGGAAGAGGATAGCTGGCATTTTAGCATTCGTTTGCATAGTTTTAATTACAGTAATTGGTAACTTGCTTTCAAACTGTAACTAATCAAGTAAATAATATGCTCTTACTACAGTGCATACATTAGCAGTATGATTTTGTATTTATGTAGAATGGCTTGTCATTAAGAATGAAAGTCACATTGTCTTAATAGTTATGTTACAGCCCTAATTAATTAATTTTTGTCACAGTGTTTTTTTGCAGAGAAGAACAAAGCAAAAACATCACACTTTTTCCTACTCTGTCTTCTAAAAGTAATGGTGAGTTTTAATGTGCCCACTTCCAGTAATTTTGATTATTAGAGCAATTATTATATCTTCTTCAGATCCACAGCTATAATGAAGTCTGACAGGTAACTATGGTGTTATCTACGGTCAGTTCTTACCAGGGAAATATTCACTTGGGTAAATCAGAACAGTGATTCAGGACAATATGAAATGTCTTAACAAACTTTAAATATAATGCCAATTCTATTGTGTGGTTTTGTTAAAATAAGGAGAAAAATGAGATTTAAATATATTGAATTCTAATATAAACCATTCAAGTTTCTGTCATTTTGATATCTCTTGCTAAAAAAATCATTCAAATAGGTTTTAATTATAGAAAAATGAAATTAAATACAAGTATATTACTCCTACAAAATACACTGATATGCCAAGTATGGTCAGGGTTTATAGGAAACATGCTTCTTATAAGTTTACATCTTCTTACAAAATTTAAGTATTTTAATCAAAGAAATGAATGCTGTATACCAGACTTCCATATAAATATCTGTGAACATGTCATTTATAGCTGAATTTCAAATATTAAAAATGTCTGTGATCTGATGAATGATTGACTAAATGTTTTTTATTGTATAATGGTATTATCTGGCAAGAGCTTGTTTCCTGACACTATTGGAAGACAATAGGATTTTTGGTGTTTTTTCAGGGAAAAAGTTTTGTTGCAGAGCAAGTCAGGAAAGAACCTATGTGCCATAAACTCAAATCTGCTCTTGCAGATCAGTTGGTAGTCCAGGAATATGTGGGAAGCGAGACAGGCAGAGGTTGCTGTGAAATGGTTGGCAACCACTTCACAGCTGTAGGTTTATTTTTGAGGGTGAGTTATGTTTTGCACAGTATGTGTGAAATAGTACCATCTCTGACATGGAGATCTGCCTTCTCATGCTCATCTTTATTCTTAAAAAGCCAATTCCGAACCCAAAGAATCATTAAGGAAAGACTTGAAAGCTTCACTGGAAGACAACTTAAAAACTTTTTTATGTAAAAAATACGCCTGCTTATGTCTAAGTCTTAGTGGATTTTAATGGTTGTTAGTAAGCCTTGAACTGTGTTACAAACATATAAAATTGGTAATGGTTTTAATAACAGTTACTCATCATTCAGACTATCCTTCATGTATTTATGTTTCTAGGATGTTCCAGTGGTCTTTGCTCACACAACTGGATTGGGTATGGAAATAGTTACTATTAGTTTTCCAGTGAAGCCAAAACCTGGGCAGAAAGCCAATCTGCCTGTGCAGAGCTGAATTCTCAACCTCTCAAAGTAGACTCTGAAGAAGACCTGGTAGGTCACACACTCTCACCTTTCCATTACATTGTATCTTATTTGATTTGGAAGTACTAATGATAACATTGTACAGAAACTGACTGGCAGTTTTTATTTGACTTAATTTTCTGAGGGAGAAAAGAAAGAGACTCCACCATTAGACTATTTAATGTTATAAAATATCAAACTAGTAAAGAGATAATATCTTGAGGTCGGGTCTATAAATACACTAAGTGGCTGTAAGTGAGAACTTGGAAGAGTTTACACCACTAATCTTTGAGTCCAGGAAGGAGGAGATCTTGACACACACGCGCAATTACATTTGCAAATGTTTTCTCCCAATAGAAACTGCCTTCAGTGATTGAAACGACATGATGGAGAGCTTTCAAAACCAATGAAAACAATGGATCCAGGGTGAGGGAAAATGTCTCCCAACTGAAGGACAGCTTGTAAGTACAATGTTTAGACAGAGTTTCCTTAGAATAGTGGTGTGTGTGTGTGTGTGTGTGTGTGTGTGTGTGTGTGTGTGTGTAATTTGTGAAAGACACAGAAACAATACTACCGAAAAAAAGAAAGGCAATATACAGAAAATAACTGGTAAAAATTTGCCAACCCTCACCAAAGTCTCACCTTAGAACATTTACATGCTTAATGAACTAGACTTTTCAAACTAGATTTTGGCAAAATTAGTACATAGTTAGCTAAATTGAGAAATCCAAAGACTTCTGTTTTGTCATTGGTTACTTATTTGGTTCATAATTCTACTTACAATAACATAAAGGGATTAGCAAATACCCAATATTTTCTGTGAAAGTTATTGTTTTAAAATGTAAGATAACAATATTCCTTGTTTTTTCTGTATTCTTGATATTTCAACATATACCTGTTTGTTGTACTTGTTGTCTTATTCTTTTTGACCTATACTGGTGTAGACCATTTTCAGTCTGATATAAAATTATTGTTTGCAGAGATTATACCTTGCTTTTTAAATTAAGTTATTATATTATTTTCGCACAGATTTTTTGTTTTGGAAGGCAAGAACCAGAGTTGTGCTTATATGAATGGAAAGTATGTGTATCCTGAAGACTGTTCACCTAGAAAAATTTATATCTGTGAGTTTAATATATAGAAAAATTTGATTTATGCTACCTTGTTGTTATTAAAAAATATAAATATAAGACTGCTTATTTTTTATTTCATAATTTTTAATTAAATTAGCTCTGAATATTTTTACTACATTCAGAATTTTTTTCAGTCAGAGTTTTCGAGTTAAAAGTTTGACAGTTTAAATTGTATTGAAAAGAAAAAGAACTTCCCAATTACCAATTCTCCTGGAATAGTTTTCCTCCATCTCACAATTCAAGTTGATGTTAAATCATTAATCAAAGTTATTTAATACTGTCTGAGCACTAAACACATTTGCAAATTCAAAGCATAAGAAAAAAATAAAAGTTTCTGCATCAGTTAGGTCTTAGGTTAAGGAGACAGCTGCTGGATCTGAGACTGTAACTGAGACTGTAACTGAATTCCAGAGCCCCTACTACTCTCAAGCATTTGTCACCCTGGCAGTTAGGACCACAGAGACACTTTCTGTGCCCAGCATCAGTTAATGTTTCATATCAGATGGAAACTTTTTGAGATATGTACAGACTTAGTGAAATACTCAGGCTATTTCACTTCACTTAAGGTAAAGAGGACAAGTTTTAAGGACAAGAAATAATAAATGTAATTCACATTCAGAAAGTTAGGGAACTCAGAAACTAGCCTCAGTGGTGAGGCACTGTCATCATTTCAGTGTACCAACTATGAATGTCTTATGTAATTGAAAACCAAGCAGTTATAAATCAGTTTATATCAAATCTTCATAGCAAAATTAAAATGATGAAAGATAAATAAATTCTAAAACAGAAAAAATTTTCAAATATTTTGTCTTTGAAAAACCAGTAACTAAAATGTTTCCTGATGTAATTTTAAAAATATAATTCCTTTAAAAATTCAAGCAGCCTGAGAATTCTAAAGGAAAAACTAAGCACATTTCTGTCATTGTACAGAAATTCAAAAGTGAAGAATATATGATTTTGGCATTGGAAAAATGACCATATATAATGGAACAATGATGTAACTCATTGTTTGCTCATCAGAATGACACAGAAGGAATAGCAGTGATGGTAGCAGAAATAAGCTCTAACAATCCCATGAAGTCATTTGACTTCTGGTCCAATAGGCAAAGTGCTAATAAGTTGCCACTGACCTTTCTAACAAGAATGAAAGGCTGAAAAAAAGAATAAATCAACATTTCTCCTCAAAAACTTAAAGGAAGTGAGTTCACAAAACCAACCAAAACCATAGACAGAGATGTGGATATGGACAATTCTATTACATTGGGGGTGAAGCCTAGGGGTAGCTATCATGGCTGCAATTAATTGAAGGTTTATGTTTCCTCCATAATTTGATGTCTTGACCACAATGTCAAGGTGAAGAGAGAATTCAAAGAACTCAGTTTTTTTGTTTTTGTTTTGTTTTGTTTTGTTTTGGTGAAGTTACAAAGAAAAGTCAGCCTTCTGCAGAGGAAAAAAATACCTGTCTCAGAAGTCAATCAGAAACTGGCACCCTGTTCTCAGATTACATCCCTCAGGAATGTGAGAAATGGACTTGGGCTTTTCAAAAACAACTGAGCTTATGGCAATCTGAGCTGTGGAGTAGAAAAATAAACTATAAATGCTATATGGTGACATATTTGATGTGAATAAACTCAAAAGTGAAATTCAGGGGAGTGTATTCTTAATGAAGGTCCAGCTTTCATGCATTTACCTCCAAGAGCCTTACTTGTTTTTACTGTGGTTGCTGGAGAAGATAAATCATGATTCTTCTGAAATAGAGTTAAATTCAATAGTTTGAAAACTGTTAAGAGTATGTATTCTGGAGAAGCTCTCTGAGATAGTCAACTTACAATTCAACATAATACAGAGTGGGGAGTTCCAAACAGAGGTAGATGAATTCTCTCATCCCAAGAAGAAATTAAGTTGATTTGTTGACCATCAGAGGTCCCGACACAACTGGCCAACTCTGTGACTTGCTGGGGTCCCACCATGACTGCCCAGGATCCTGCCGTGACTGGCTGGGGTCCTACCACGACTGGCCAGGTTTCAGCTGCAACTGGTTGAGGTCCCGCCGTGACATGCCCAGCCATCCAAGGCCTCACTGCTTTGACTCACTGGAGGTGCAGTTACATTGAGTTTGAGGGTCAGTGAGCCAAACAGAGAGCTGAGTTGGTGGGGAGCCTATATCCACCTGTGGTGAGTGATGGGAGTGGAGCCATTCCATAAATAGGGGGTCTCTGATGGGCAACATTCTGGAACTAGGCAGGACTAGCAAGTACAAAGTGCATCAGGGACTTCAGTTGGTTGTTCCTTTCCCAAACGAGATTGATGGAGTGACCTAGGCCTGGGTCATGTGACCTGTCTGAGGCCCAATATGTTATCCGAGGTCAAGTACCTGCAGTGGTGGCACACACGAACTACACTGGCCCATAGGGCCTCGGAGGTTTGGTTGGTCCCGAGGGGAGGCAGGGCAAATAATACAGTAGTGCAGGCCACAGCGTCTTAACTGATCTGGAGGGGAGGGGCCAGCATACACTGTCCCTCTCTGTAACTCATTAGCACACTGCAGTGTGAAGGGTCATCTAGCTAGCACCCTTCATAAGAATTGTAACCATCAAAGAAAAAAACTGGGGCCTCTGGGAAGAAGCAAAAAAGAAGGGAAGAGGAAGGAACAACAAAGAGTCCCCAAGCCCCAACCATGAGATCATTCACCCCGGATAGGTAATTACAAAGGAGAATGAGAACAGCAAATATACAATATCAGACACAGTGCCAGTGGACATAAAGAGATATATTCAGGACCTCATAGATGAGTTCAAAAGTGAAATATTTAGCCAAATAAAGCCAGATATAAGAAGATTAATAAAAGAGATACTAAGTACACCTCAAGCAGACACAGATGGAAGAAGGGAGGAACTCAAACACAGGAGAGAAACATTTGGTGAAGAATATAGAAAAAAAATAGAACACATGAAGCAGATTCAAAGAGATCACCAAGAAATTAAAAACTCTATGGAAAGATGGCAAATCAGCTTGAAAAAAAATAAGGATAGATTATCCAAACTGGAGGACAATTTTGCAATGCACTGGAGTATGAAAGTGAAAATTTTTAAAAATAACAAGGAAACAAGTAGTAACAATACAAAGGCTAGAAGATGACAGAAGGATCTATAATTGGAGAAAAAGAATGTAAATGAAGAAGCGGAGATACAAACAAAGGAACTACAAGTTATTCACAGAAATAATTAAGGAGAACTTCCCAAACATAGGAAAAGGAAATTATATTCTGAATAAGAGGCATACAGAACTCCAGCCACCTACAACCAAAACAGAGATACACCCAGGCATATAATAATCAAGATCCCAGAAATTCAATATAAGAGCTGAATATTAAAGCTGTTAGAGACATGAAACAGATAACCTACAGAAGAAGGCTCATCAGAATAACAGCAGACTTCTCAACACAAATGATCAAGTCAAGAAGAGCCTAGAGTGAAATATTCCAAGCCCTGAAAGAAAATAACCTCCATCCCTGATTGATATACCCTGTTAAACTGTCTCTAGAAATTAATGGAGAAGCAAGATGCTTCCAAGAGAAAAAGGAACTTGAGAAATTTGCAATCACCAATCCAACACTACAGAGAACACTCTGGGGAATTCTAGAGAGAGAGAAAAAGTACTAGGATTCCAGGAACAGTGGCAGAGAGGCCTCAATGAATGGAGCAGACAACAGAATGAAGAAGATAAGAGGATAACTGGTGGCAAAAAAAGAGCATAACAGAAATGAGGCAGAGAAGATTTTATTCAAAACTGATATGATTGATAGTATCAAGTCTGAGAGTATAGGCAACTACACTGAAGATGACAAGACTCTACAATACACATTCTGATTTGATAACTGCTGGTTTCTGAATTTCTATACTATATACAAATTTGTGTTTTTATTAATACTGTTATGTACTGATATATTCAATTCTACTATGTCTGATGATATAGCCAATTCTATTGGAGATAACAAGAGACAAAACAGGAACTATGGTAGAACTCTATTTTTCTCCATGGTAGAAATCTTTGTACAATAGTCTTATATGTTTATTTCATTTCATGTGTTTATTGGAATATGTTTATTTTGCCTTGCTTTGTTTTGTTTCTCCCTCTAATATAGAAAGGACAGAAATACATGTTAAGACTGAGGCATATGTAGGATGTATAAACAGTTTATGAGAACTGATCTTATGACATATGATGAAATGAACAGATACTTTGAAGAAAAAGAAACACTAAAATACCCCATGCTGTTCCTTTAGTATCATAATGTGAAACCTAGCAATAGCATTATTCTTTGTCTAGAGTGATATTAGCCTGCCTGGATTCATTCAATCTCAACATAATTGAAGATATGGATAACAGCATGTATGTTTAAGTTTATAGGACCATATTTCTAAGTTTTTCTTGGATAGTTGAACAGAATTGGTTGTAATCTCACTGTTTGAATCCCCACTTTATAGGCTCCACTTTAGTATCTAGAATAACTATTTGTAAGAAGAAAATCTCTAATCTTCAACAAGTGATTTCTTACTGTTTATTTTTTCTTTGAAATTATGTGTTAGTTCTACCCATTTTCTGTTTTGTTTAGTCTTTCTTTAAATTAAATTTAAAAAAGACACTACAGTACCCAGTGATGATCATGGAGTCTCATGATGTGAAATCCAGCAATACTGCTATTCTTTGTTCAGACTGATTTTAACCTGCTTTAGTTTGTTTAATCTCAACATAAATGAAGTTATGAATAACTGCATGTATGTTTAAGTAGGATTGATAACCATGTTACTAAGTTTTTGTTGGACATTGAACAGAACTATTTGCAGTCTTGCTGTTTGAATTCCCACTTTACATGTTCCATTTTTGCATCTTGAACAATATTTGTAGAACAACAATATGTAAACATCAACTAGAGATTTCTTACTGTTTATTTTTTCTCTGAACGTGTGTATTATTTCTACCTATTTTATGTTTTGTTCAGTCTTGCTTCAAATAAATTTTTTAAAAAAGAGTATGTAT